CTGGTCCTTTGCTGGTTTATGCTGGTCCTTTGCTGGTTTAAGCTGGTCCTTTACTGGTTTAAACTGGTCCTTTGCTGGTTATGTGCTGGTCTTAAGCTGGTCGGACCAGTTTAGGACCAGCACATGACCAGCTTAAACCAGCATCCCAGCTTCAAAACATACCTAACCAGCATATGCTTTTTTTTCAACAGCGTTACATGAAATCTCTACTGTGTAATTCCTATGTATGTCTGTACTTTCTTCTGCACTGGAAGCTCCTGACAGATTATTTGCGTGTAAACATACTTAGCACTAAAGCTATTTCTGACTTCTGACTAAATTATGGTTACAGTAGTAAAACCATTAATGATTTCCATAAGCGATGAGAAAAGGCGAGGGAAAGCTTTATGCTAAGTCACTGAAGGTAGAAAAACAGCATGCACAAACTGCTAAAACGCATTAAATGAATAAAACAGATTATATACACTTTAACACTTACCGTCTGAGTGCTCCAGTCTTCTTCTTCAGTGGTTTTACCGGTGGACCACAGATCGTCACAGCGCCTCCTACAGCACGAGCGAAGAAGTGAGAAAATAACAAGCGGCCAAAGTCTGGGTGGTTAAGAGTTCATTTCTCCGAATTCTCACTAGTCAAACTAGGAGCAAGCGCATATGTATTTAGGTATTTACATTAAATTATGTGTGGTCTTATTTCTTAATCAGCTGTCTGTCGATGCGCTTCCGCTCCAGCACAGACGGAGGCGCTCGAGGCTCTTCAGCGCGAGTAAACAAACCATAGAGCGACCGAAACAAGAGTTTACAGTTTGAACCCTCAACCGGTGTGGGGTTTAGTATGTTTTACACCGTTTACCATATTTATATTTACGTTTATGTTCGATTTATAGTTTTATCCCTTTATGGGATTATTGATGTTGTCTAGTTGTTTTGTTTTTCGTTGTATCTACATGCCGAACGCTAAATGAGTGTATTTACATTTACATTTCTGAACATTTACATTTCTGAATGTTCTCGGAGATCAAATTCATATTAATAGATCAGTTCTCACTTTCATAATCATTAACAGTCATTCTGGGTTTAAATGAATGTCATTATAAGTGCTTCTTGTAGTAATCATGCTGTGTGTGTTCAGATGCTGATCATGAAAGCGCAGGTGGATGTGCTCTGCTGTAAATCAGTAGGAACTGATCTGTCCATGCTGGATATTGAGGATTTCATCTCAGAAATCTGTCGGCTGAAGAAAGAGGTGGCGTCACTGGAGGCAAAGCTGAGAGAAAGAGGAGAGGTTTGAACAGCTCTTCATCCTTCACTTCAATCCAGTGAAACATTGGCTTTTATCTTCTAATCAAGTTCACCGAGTCAACTCATGAGCACAATGTCAGGTTCAGCTAATGCATCTTGTGTTCTTCGCTCTCAGGATTCAGCCTGGAGCATCAGAGATCAGAGATCCAGAAACACACAGGACTCAGAGCTCAGTCTTAGTTTGCTCTGTTATACTGACGCTCAGGAGAGCGTGTGTGACAGTCATGGGTCCGTCACCTCCTCAGAGTCGCTGGGGTCTGACTGTAACGCTGGAGAGCTGCAGACGCCGATGAAGACGTGCTCCGTCAAACTGCTGGACTGCAGGAATATAAAGGAGACGAGAGAAGAATCCACTGTGGAGAAAGTACAAAGTGACAATGATAATGATGATGACTTTATTCCTTCGGGTATGCTACTTCCTTTAATATATTATCCTAACTGGTGCATCAACAAATGGTTTTACATGTTTACAAGTCATTTAAAGTTTCTCAAGCTTAACCCGTCGGTTCCACTTTTTTGAGCATAGACCTGAAAATGACATTTCCAACTTAAATTCCAACAAAAGCAGACTTAAGGTCGGTCTCTTTTTAAAGAAGACACTTGGCAGATTATTGTAGAAGTGAAAAAAGTTATAGAATTTTTATTACAAAAAAAGTTATGGAAGTTTATGAAAATATAAATATTTGATATAAAATACATATTTTACAGCATGTTTTACTCTAAAACTGCTAGAAAATTAAAACCAAATATCCGAACAAGTTGTGTTCCAAATTTGAGGTTGATATCTCAAAAAATGAGCTTTCAGTGAGGTTTTGTTTGGGCGCAGTACCAAGCTTTTCCACTAGGTGACCATTAAACCCCATTAGTAACCATATAAGGGCATCTCCATTTCCATATACGGTTTGAGTGATCTGAAACATGTTAAGGGCAGTATTTGATTTCAATTCAACCTCTAAAAAACACATAAAAGACATACGACGTGAACCTTAGACCTATGTTACAGTTCACACTGCATCAAAAATGGAGAATCAGTTGTTATTCTTTATAGTCAAAACACTTTTAGACCTTTTTTCTCCCAAAACAGAATGGATGTTATCTTTTGAACACTTGGCACGAAAACGAATGGAGGTTTTTACTGATTTTTCACGATTTCATACGTGCATCACTATTTCAAAGTAAAGGTCATTACTCGCTCTCCGACTCTGATGAGTACTCTTCTTGCAAATTAATAAATTACAGTTGCTCCGTAAAATATTTCAAAAATTAGTCGCCAAATATGAAAACTAGAGTCTTTAAGCTTTCAAACCGATATATAGTTTGTCAAGATTACTTTAGGTTCAGACTAAGATATTACTGTTTAAAACACGTAATGACAAGTAAGCGAAAATGCTTCTAAACAAAGCCATGTTGTGTGACTCTGCACACCGCAGTGTTTCGTTTCTGAATGAATGCTTCTGAACGCGTTTTTGAATCAGTGATTCACTGACCCATTCATAAAAACGTCCTTCCTGAATGAATCAGCCGTTTTGAACGAATCGATTGAATGAATGACTACTGGCAATTTTAGTCTCATTTTTAAAAGTATCATTCTATTTTTCTATTATTTCATATTTCTAAATTCTAAATTTTATATTTAAAACATAATCGCATAACATTATTTATGCAGTTTGTGTAGCTCAGTATAATAAATGACCTGTGAGCTATTTTGAGCTGAAACTTTACAGACACATTCTGAAGACACATGAGACATATTAAATCTTGTAAAAAATGAATATTAGGTACCCTTTGACTTGATGAAAGACGCTAACTAGCCAAATAACCTGTATTATCTTAGAGCTTTATACTACTGCCATATGGATATTACACTGACACACTCATCTCTGACAAATAATAATTACTTCCTGATTATACCATTGAAAACATACACTTTATGTGAAATTGCTTTTAAAACAATATGTATTGTGAAAAGCACTATACAAATAAAATTGAATTGAACTTACCTGGCAAGGTTTCCCAAAAATTAACACTGCAACAAAAGTCTAGAACATGGATCTGCAACCTTTTGGGCATTAAGTGCCATTTTTAATTTGTCTGGTTAACCACTGTGCCAGTAAGCTGTATTCACAGAATACACACTCGTTTTTTATATGTTCAGATAAAAATCTGTATTGGATTATCATATAAATATTGCATATTTGTTGAATATTGCTGAAGAATTTTTTCATCAATTATCTGTAAAATATTTCAAAAATTAGTCGCCAAATATGAAAACTAGAGTCTTTAAGCTTTCAAACCGATATATAGTTTGTCAAGATTACTTTAGGTTCAGACTAAGATATTACTGTTTAAAACATGTAATGACAAGTAAGCCCACCGGTGGGCCAGTGAGAGTTAACAGCTTAAGGTGGCAGGTCCACAGGGTTTTTGGTTTGTAGACTCCATGACATGGTGAGGATTAGTGAGATGTTTGGGAGTGATCATGTTGGACCAATATACACAGATATTGTAATAACTATATACACAGATAACTTGGGGAAATGCAAGTAAATATAAATATTCCTCCGTTCCTCTCAGATGAAAACACCAGATCATCTTCTGATGAAGAAACGGCCACGACATCAAAAGAGCAGCCGACGGCCAAGAGTTTCTCCTGCGTCACCTGTGGGAAAACATTCAGCAAACGGGGAAATTTAGCAAGACACGAGAGCAAACACACAGAACAGAAAGACTTCAGCTGCAAGATATGCGACATCAGCTTTCCTACCTTAAAAGAAAGAAGACTTCATTCAAAAGAGCACAGGGTGAAGAAGGAGTTTCGCTGCGAACAGTGCGGGAAGGTTGCCTTCTCTTCTGGTAATTTGAAAATTCACATGAAGACGCACACTGGCGAAAAGCCTTTCCACTGCAGCGAGTGCGACAAGTATTTCAGCGCCAAACAATCTCTTATTGTTCATAAGCGAATCCACACAGGGGAGAAGCCGTACAAGTGCCCTCACTGCGAGAGAAGATTCAGAGATGGGTCCCATTTCAAGACACACATGCGTTCGCACGCCAGCGAGAGGCCGTACCAGTGCAGCGAATGTGGGAAAACCTTTAAGCAGCCCATTTGTCTAATGTCACACCAAAAACTCCACTCTGAGAAACTGCACCAGTGCACACACTGTGACAAACGCTTCCGTCATATTTCTCATCTGAATTGTCACGAAAGGATTCACACCGGAGAGAGACCGTACCTGTGCTTTCACTGCGGGAAGAGCTTTTCCGATCCGACTCATTTCAAAGTCCATCAGAGAATTCACACGGGAGAAAAACCGTACCAATGTAGCGTTTGCAGGAAGAGTTTCCGTCAACACACTAACCTACTGAAGCACCAGAGGATTCATACCGGAGAAAGACCATTCAAATGCTCACAGTGTGACAAGACGTTTGCTCGATCAGACGTCCTGAAGATCCACGAGCGAGTTCATACAGGAGAGAAACCTTACCGCTGCTCCATCTGCGGCAAGAGATTCGCTTATTTGGGGGGTTTTCAGACCCATCAGAACAAACACGCTAAAGAAGAAACTGCTCCAGAATCATTGTAGTGACTTTCATCAGTCAATCTGGAAGCTTATCCTGAAACAGTATAGAGTTTATAATGGCAGTCACATTGAGCTTTCATGTGAATTGGGAGTAGAAATTGATTGTTGAATGCTGTGATTGTAGTCGTGTTTAACAGAGTAGGACAATGATGCTGTAACAACACAATTCTACAGGCAAAAAGCACCTATTTAAAAGTTGTTGTATATATATTTTTTTTAACTTTTTTTCCCCCAAGCAGCTTTTAAATCTCAAATAATTTTATGATATATCAGATGTTTGCTGGGGGAACATACGCTAGCCGAGCAACTGCCATTGAGATGAATGGGACATAATGCATAACTTTCTGCAAGTGTATTAGACCTTCTTGATATGCACTAAGAAAGAAATTGTGGGGGAAAAAATCGAAATCATTGGTAAATGTAATAAATTGCATGCAATAATGTGGATACTTGGATATTCTGTTTTGGTCAGCACACTCAAGCCCTAGAACCAAGGTACTAATAATGATTATTATTATTTATAACTATTA